TCACGGGCAATCGTTTGAATTTTTCAACGAAATTTGGACACAACACACATTTCATCAAATTACTAACACTCACCAAAAATCACAGCAAAATTCCTAGAATATGATTTTTAATGATTTTTCAAAGTTTCTGTCCAGAATTTCAAATCTACGTTTGACATAGATACAGATCTCATTTCGGTATGAAATTTTTACAACACATAATATATCAACAGAGGACTCTACAGTTCAAATTTCATGGCAATCGGACGAGTATTCAATTTTTAATTATTTTTATAAGAATCAGCAGCAATACCCGATTCAACAACACATCAATGATCACATAATCATCTAAAACGTCCAAGGCCTGAACCATGAGGCCAAGGAATTCAAATGTTCCAACAATCCACAGCCCTAATAACGATTTAAGCGAAAATCACGTTCGAACACAATCAACGAATAGATCACGAGATTAAGTAGCCATTTAACAAACCCTAACATGAAATTTCCAAACAAGGCTCATCACATAGCACATATATGCTGAAAATAATAAAGGATTATCAGCCTTGTACCGTTCTCGGGGAAATTGCACGGAAAAAGGTTTGAACGGGGCCGAGGGTGTCGGCTGGGCGCTGGCTGGCAACTCGCGCGCGTCTGCTGGCTGCTGGGGGCTCGCGTGCATGACGAGGATCACCTGCTGGGTCGCGGAATGCTGGATGGCGACGGGCCTGGCCCACGAGTAGATCGCGGTCAAGACACGCGACGGCAGCGGGGCTTGCAGGCAACCGACGCGTGGGGACCGGTGGCGGAGGGGTGGCGATGGACTGGGCGACGGCAGCGATCGGAGGGAGATAATAAAAAAAAAAAGAAAAGAGAAGGACGAGAGAGGGAGATGAGAGAATGTGTGGAAAAAAAATAGAGGGAATGAGGAATGGATCTCTCCCATAAATGGAGCCTTCAAGTTATGGTAGAAATCCCAAATTGATACTTGCCAAAATAACTCCAAAGAAAAGAAAAGGAAGGACCCCATGATCACTCCACTTACCAAAACACAAGGAGAGAAGGGGAAAAGGGGGGGGGGGGCTAGGGTTGGCTGGGCGTGGCCTACGGGCGCGGCTCGCGGGGTTCGACCGGAGGCTCGGTTCGACGAAGTAAATTAAAACAATTAAATTAAATTAATAAATTAAATAAATTAAAATAGTAGTTAATAATTATATAAAATCTCCACAATTTAATATTTATTTATAAATACACATAAGGCACATTAATTCATTTAGGCAAATATCAATTAATAATAATGGCAACAATAATGATAACAATTACAATAATGATAATAATAATAAGAAGAATAATAATAATCCAATTTATTCATAAACGAACGGGGCGTTACAGTCTACCCACCTTACAAAGAATTCCGACCTCGGAATTCGAAAACAAAACTAGAAAGCGATAAAATACAAAGGAGAGCTCAGAACTCAAAGTTCGGATAACGCCTCCTAATACCGTCCTCCCTCTCACAAGTCGCCTCGGTCTCATCGTGTCGGCTCTACAGCACCTTCACCAAGCTCACTGCCCGGTTCCTCAGCTGATGGACCTTCCGATCCAGAATAGCTACCGGCACCTCCTCATAGGTAAGGTCTCGCTCGACCTGCAGTTCGCCGAAGTCAACCACATGATCAGGATTATGCACATACTTCTGAAGCATCGAGACATGGAACACGTCGTGCACACCCGACAAGTCTGGTGGTAAAGCTAGCCAATGCGCTAAGTTCCCGACTCGGTCGAGGATCTCGAACGGCCCAATATAGCAAGGTTTAAGCTTCCCTTTCTTCCCGAAGCGAATCACACCTCGCATGGGTGAAACTTTCAGAAGGACATGATCTCCCACCGCATACTCATGCTCATGCCTCTCCCGGTCGGCACAGACCTTCTGCCTCTCCTGGGCAGACCTGATGGCCTTTCGGATCTCCTCAACGGTCGCAGCAGTACTCTGAACAAAATTTGGTCCTGTGATTTTCCTCTCTCCAACCTCATCCCAATACAAAGGGGTCCGGACCTTACGTCCGTATAAAGCCTCGTATGGGACCATCTTGATCGAAGAGTTGTAGCTGTTGTTGTAGGTCAGCTCGACTAGCGGAAGGGCATACTCCCAAGTCAGGCTTCTGTCCAAGACCACAGCCCTCAAAATATCCTCCAAGTACTGGATCACACGCTCCGACTGACCATCCGTCTGGGGGTGAAAGGCTGTACTAAACTCCAACCTCGTCCCCATGGCTCGGTTCAACGTCCTCCAGAACTGGGATGTGAACTTGGCCTCTCGATCCTAAATGATCTCCACGGGCACTCCATGAAGCTTAACAATGTCCTTGACGAACAATTCGGCGTAATCACCCGCCTTCATGGTCGTCCGGACAGGCAGAAAATGGGCAGACTTCGTAAGGCGATCCACTATTACCCAAATCAAATCGTACCCGCTCCTCGATCTCGGCAGTCTAACCAAGAAATCCATGGTGATGCAATCCCACTTCCACTGGGGGACCTCCAGGGGCTGCAATAACCCCCTCAGTTTCTGGCGTTCAGCCTTCACTTGCTGACACACCAGGCACCCATCCACGAACTTTGCTACCTGCCTCTTCATGCCTCGCCACCAGAAAGACTTCGTCAGGTCCTAATACATCTTCGTGCTACCATAATGGATGGTGTACGGGGCACTATGGGCTTCCCTCAAAATCTCTCTCCGCAGCTCCCACACTCTCGGAACACAAAGTCTACCCTTAAAGACCAAGGCTCCATCGGATGCAACTTCGAATCCACCAACTCTACCAGCTGCTGACAACTCCCTCATACGGCATAAGAAGCTGTCATTTGGTTGCTCGGCGACTATCCTCTCTCGAAGAGTCGGTCCCACAACCAAAGAGGCCAATGTGCTCCCGGCTGCTGAAGTCGACTCTACTGTCTCTAGCCGCAATCGCTCGAACTCCCGAAAAAGAACATCCTGCCTGGTAAACAAGCAAGAAAGTTGGCCATAACTCCTCCGACTTAGGGCATCGGCTACCACATTAGCTTTTCCAGGATGATAGCTAATGGTGCAGTCGTAGTCCTTGACCAGCTCCAACCATCTACGCTGCCTCATGTTCAGCTCCTTCTGAGTGAAAATGTACTTTAGGCTCTTGTGGTCGGTAAAGATCTCACACTTGCCTCCATATAGGTAGTGCCGCCAAATCTTCAAGGCGTGGACAACTGCAGCTAACTCGAGATCATGAGTGGGATAGTTCTGCTCGTGAGGCTTCAGCTGCCTCGAAGCATAGGCTACGACTTTCCCCTGCTGCATGATAACACAACCCAGGCCCATCTTCGAAGCATCACTATAGACGGTGAACTCCAAAGTAGGGTCGGGTATGGATAGGACAAGCGCGGTAGTGAGTCTCCTCTTCAACTCCTGGAAACTCTCCTCGCACTGAGCACTCCAATCAAACCTCACGGCCTTCTTCGTAAGGTTGGTCAGCAGCTGGGCTATCTTTGAGAAACCCTCGATAAACCTCCTGTAGTATCCTGCTAACCCCAGGAAACTACGAACATCCGCGGCACTTCTTGGCGTATCCCATTTGCTCACCGCCTCGATCTTGCTGGGATCCACCTCAATGCCTCGAGCTGTCACAATGTGGCCAAGGAATGCCACACGCTGCAGCCAGAATTCTCACTTCGAGAACTTAGCATACAACTTCTCGCGGCGAAGAGTCTCCAGCACAATCCTCAGATGCTCTTTGTGCTGATCGATATCTCGGGAGTAGACCAGAATGTCGTCGATGAACACAATGACGAACTGGTCCAGGAAAGGATGAAAGACCCTATTCATAAGGTCCATGAAAACGGCCGAGGAATTGCTGAGTCCGAAAGGCATGACTACGAACTCATAGTGGCCATAGCGAGTACGGAAAGCAGTCTTGGAAATATCCGACTCCCGGATCTTCAGCTGATGATAGCCAGAACGCAAATTAATCTTTGAGAAGACGCTGACTCCTCTCAGCTGGTCGAAAAGGTCCTCGATACGGGGAAGGGGGTACTTGTTCTTGACTGTAAGGGCATTCAACTCCCGATAGTCAATGCACATGAGCATAGATCCGTCTCTCTTCTGCACGAATAGGACGAGCGCACCCCACGGCGAGACACTCGGACGAATGAAACCTAGTTTGAGCAACTCCTGGATTTGGGCCTTGAGCTCTTGAAGCTCCTTCGGCGCCATACGATAAGGGGCCTTAGAAACGGGGCCGACTCCTTGAATGAGGTCAATAGTGAACTCCACCTGGCGGTCTGGCGGTCCTCCGGGCAAGTCATCAGGAAAGACGTCGAGGTACTCACAAACGATAGATACTCGCTCGGGCACCCGCTCATCAATGACGTCGGATACCATGGAAACAAGATAGCCTTGACAGCTACCCTTGGAAAGGCTCTTCCTAGCTTGCATAGAAGAGATGACCCGAGGCACAGTCCTTGAACTCACCCCAAAGAACACAATCGGCTGATTGGAAACGGGATAAAGGGTGACTTCGCGCTCCTGGCACCGGATATCGGCTCGGTAACGAGTGAGCCAGTCCAGGCCCAAGATCACGTCAAAGTCTCGCATATCAATTACATAGACGTCGGCCTCTGGAACTCGACCACCAATACAGATAGGAAGATTGCGAACCACAGAATTAGAGATAATAATTTTTCCCGAGGCTAGACTAACCTCGAGAGGATCACAACCATGCACAGTGCTAATAGATAAGGCTTCCAAGCAACGAGAAGAAATAAAGGAATGGGTAGCACCGGTATCACATAAAGCAAAAACAGGCACATGGGATATCGAGAGCATTCCAAACATGGTACCTGCATTACGAGCGGCCTCATCGTGGGTGATGGTATAGACTCGGGCCTGACCCCCAGCCCTCTGCTGGAACGGTGGAGGCTGCTGTTGCTGATGAGGTGGCGGTGGGGGAAGCTGCTGCTGCTGAGGGAAGTGTTGTTGTTGCTGCTGAGGGAACTGCTGCTGCCTCTTGGGCTCCGGGCAGACACTGGCATAATGACCCGGACGGTTGCAGTTGAAACAGGATCGCTGGTCGGCTAAGCACTCGCCACTATGGTACTTGCCACATTTCTTGCAGGTGCGGTTGCCAGAAGAGGGATGATTGCGCCGGTCTGGACCTCCTCGCTTTCCCTTCCGGTTATCCCGGTGGGAATCTGCCCTTCTCTTACCCGAGATAGAGCCGGGCGGTGCCGAGAAAATAGGTTGAGCATACTGGACCACAGTCTGAGACGGCTGGGAAGCATGATAAAAAGAAGGAACTGGAGTCAATGGAATGAGACAGCTCTCGACCTCCTGAGCCTGACTCACGGTATCTGCATAAGACATCTGTCCATGGCTTCCCACCAGCTCACGGATCCTCTGGTTTAGCCCCTTAAGGAACTTGCGGGCCTTCTTGGCATCGGTGTTCACAGCGTCGCCCACGAAAAGGCACATGCGGGTGAAGGTACAGACATACTCATCCACCGTGGAACTGCCCTGCTGCAAGTGGTAGAACTCATGCTCCATTCTGTCCCAAAAGCTCTGGGGAAGAAACTTGCTTCGCACCATCATCTTCATTTGCTCCCAAGAGAGAGCCTGAAGTTCTGCCTCCGGCTTCGGAGCCCAGTGGTCAATCCACCAGTCGGAAGCGTCCTCCTTCATCTGATATGCTGCAAGGGACACTCGCTGACGGTCAGGGAGGGGAAGTACAACGAAGATCTTGTCCAGTTCTTTGATCCATTCAAGCACAGCTGTGGGGTTCTCAGTCCCTGCAAAGGTTGATGCATTCATCCTCTGGAACTGAATGATAAGCTGGGTAAGGTCCATGGCCGGAGGGGCCTGGTGTTGCCGGGGCGGAGAAGGCTGCGGGGATGGTTGAAGATTACGGTTGTTGTTGCGAGTATTCATACTTCTACATTGGATAAGTCGAAGCAGATTTAGCACAAGAACAAACAAAATAATCAATACTTACTGAAGTCTAGAGTTCGCCAAATAAACACTAGAGTTCGATTAAATCAAGGTGGATAGATCCTAAGCCCCAAATCACAAGTTCATCACGAGTAGTTTCATTACTACAAGTGCATCAATTACATAACAAGTATTTTCATTAATACTTTAAGCAAAACATACCTTAAGCAGCGCGGAGTGACGGAGACGAGTGGTCATAACACAAGGTCTAAACACATAATCACATCTTAAACCAGTCTACAGAAACGCAGACTGGCTCTGATACCAAACTGTAACACCCCACTTTGATTTTAAAGAAATTTCGGACTTTTCAAAAATCAGTATAAAATTTTTCGAACTCATTTTAAACATGGGCGTTATTCAACATTCAACATCAACCAAGACGTATATGGTTGTCCACATGGTTTTCATTAACCTTTTAAAATTTAAAACCACATGTTTATAGCAAGCATAATCGAATCCACATGATAATTCATAATAACTTTCATACGAGTATCGAACAAATGGTCCAAAAATCCCGACACTGACAAGTTCGAAAATAGTTCAACATGTCTCAAAGACCACACATTATTCATAAGGCAACAAAATAATAAATATAATAATCATGACCAACCCACTCGTCTTTTCCCGTCATCCTGTACCTGCTTAACCTGCATCCGTGAAGAGCAGGTGGGAGTGAGCACAAGATAAAAATAGTGCTCACTACTATGCACATAAATAATATATGACAATGTTACTGTCGCAGCATGAATATAAGATAATCACATTGTTGTCGTATGATTCTTAACAACGATTTAAAGTTGAGTTTATGGGATAATTTCAAGTGGTTTAAACGTAAAGCATGTGAGAAATGTCTTAACAACGATTTAAAGTTGAGTTTATGGGATAATTTCAAGTGGTTTAAATGTAAAGCATGTGAGAAATGTTCAACAATGGCCCCGGTCCGAGGTGAACCGAGGTGAAAAGCCTTTATAGGCTGTTACGTGTTTCATATTCATGAATTCGGGATCTCCGTACAAATGTCATAGGCTTGCTATTTATAGTAGCTTTTTCGATAGATACATTGGGATTCGTGTATTATTTTTCGTATAAAGTAACTTTTGGTGGGAGGTTGGAGCAGTGGGTCCCACGTGAATGATGACAAATCTCGTGGATTGTGATAGGGGTGTGTAGGCGCCTTGTCACCTGCTTTAGGAGGTGACGACCTCGGTTTCAGTTGACCTCGGCAGGTGACGACCTCGGTTTAAGTTGACCTCGGTAAGTGTAGGTTACTTCGGTCTTTAGTGGTTTGGACCGGCTCATTGCGGGGACTAGCACGGTTTTGGATCACGTCAGTTCAATAGTTAATTTCACTTAACATGATGCTCAAAACTCTTTAATGGTGTTTTGCCGAGTCGGATGATAACAGAGGGGCCCCCAATATCGGTGGGCATACGGAGTGATGATCATCGATATTGCGAAACGCCTAGAGGCTCCGAATCGGTAAAAAGTTAGCGGTTGCATTGTCTTCGGTATCCCGATGTGACTGAAGTAACCGGAGTGAGTTGCTTGTTCCGAAGTGCAGACTAAATTCCGAGGTGAAAACACTTGGTAAAATTCGAGCGATTTACGGGCGGTCGTGATAGGAGGAATGTGAACAGACGTAACGGTCGACGATTTAATGTCAGGATGAACGGTCGCGCCGTAATGGTCTTAAATGAAGTAACGGTTGGTTTTAATAGGTCGCCACGTGTAACAGTAGGCTTCTGTCAGATGAAAGGATGGCACCGATTGGAATTAGGAGTCGCGTCGGTTGGACGCGCCTTTAATTGAGATCTCTAACGGTCAGAAATTGGTGATTATAAATAGGGTTTCGCAATTTCTGATTGAACTTTCTTCACTTTTGCTTTAACTCTTGAGCTTTTGCATTCAGTAATATTGTTGTTGAAAATCCTTTGAGAGTTCGAGAGTCGTTTCCTGCGCACTGCGTGTTTGTGGATTTTTCGGTAAGTTCCTTCTTTAATTCTTCCTTTATTTCTTTTGCGTTTTGTGTTGTTGTGCGATGGCATCGAAGGGAAAGGGCAAGGCGGTAGCAAGTTCTTCTAGTACTGAATCGGTTCCATTGGAGGTTTATCACGATTCGGAACTAGTTGAATTAGCCTTTGAATACCACCGATGGGATCCGTCGTTGGTGAGGCATTTAGACATTAAGCTGAATGATGAGGACAGAGACCTGGTTTTAGAACATAACGCGGCCGACCTCGTGACGCCTCATTGGAGAAGGCCAGTGAGGACGTGGCCCGATCCGAAGGTTGATTTTGAGGGTGAACCGAGTATCTTGACCGATGCCGATGTCGTATTGCTGCGAGAACAGGTGCGGATTCCACCCTCGGTGAAGATTTTTGCTCCTTACCCCGGGGAGAGAATAACAAGTCCACCTCCGGGTTGTGTGGGTATATTTGCAGAGAGCTTGAGGTCGGGATTGAGATTCCCGTTGCCGAACTTGATTACGGAGTACCTCCGAAGTTGGGGGTTGCCGTTGTGTCAAATTACTCCCAACAGCTGGAAGAAGATTATCGGCCTGATGGTGTTGTTGCACGAGCAGGGTGAGGGGCTACCATCGTGCGAGGAAATGAGAAGTATTTTTCTTTTTAAACAAAGTCCGAAGAGGAGGGTTGTCGAGTCCTCGTGTTGTTTCTTTGCCGGAGCGAAACCGCAGCACGGCATTAAAGTTGGAGAAATAATAACCGAGATCCCGAAGAGTCTTCACGGTTTTCAGGAGGAGTGGCTATGGATTGGTGGGGAATGGCAATCCGAGGGCTTTTTCCATGAACCCCGAATTGATGGGATGACAATCCCTATGTTTATCCATTCCGGAGCAAGTGAGTTTGTTTTATTTTTTCAATTCGGATATATTTTCCTGATTTTGGTGTTGTTCTGTGTACTAACAGGTCGGAACTTTTGCCCTTTGTAGAAAAAGAGACCAAGCAAAAAGAGCCGAAGTTAAGTCCGGAATTCGGTGGAAAGTTGATTACTTTGGCTAGTTTAGATAAAGAAGCTCGGGATTATCGCACGCTCTTAGTAGATTCGAAGCTCGAAGTTGCTGGTTTGTCTCTCGGAGTTTCTACTTCGAAATTTGACCCCGGTAAGAGAATTTGAGTTCATGGTAATTTTTTTAAACTTTCTATACGTGTAAAATAGTTGTCGGTAACTCTGTTCATCTATTGCCAGAATGCAGTATATTATCCACTTCTCGGGTTTTTGGGCTATAGCTCTGTCAAGGAAGCTAAGGAGTTCAGGCGTAAGTTTCCGAATAGAGACCTTCAATCTAAATTTGGTAAGAGTCGAGATCTGAGATTGAACGACGCCATGAGGAGAGATCTTGTTCGCGCTTTGGTGAAGAAGACTGCTGGCCAGAAAAATACCGGTAAAAAGTCGATCGAAGTAGGGTCGAGCGCGACTTCGGCCGCTATTCCAGAAAATCCGAAGTCTTTGCCAGAGGCGACAACTACCGAGGTGCCGTCAGCTGTGAATGCTGCTGCAATTAACCAAGCAGACCCTGAACCTGTCGTAGTGGGAACAGAGGTGGTTACGACCGAGGTCGTTCATACCGAAGTGCCGCCCTCTTCTCCGAAGTCCATGGAGTTGGAACAACCGGAGAAGAGGAAAAAGAGAAAGTTGGTTAAGATGGCCGACGTTGGTGCTTCTTCCGGAGTGGAGAAGAGGTCGAAGAAAAAGCATGACTCCGGTCGTAAAGCCGTTGAGAAGGGCCATGATGAGTCTCCCTTATTCGAGAAGTCATTTTTATCCATCGACGAAGAGCGGGCCGCCAATGTTAGGGTGCCCGAAGGTGTTGTGGAGGAGTGGTTCACTACTTTCCAATCTGTTAAGACACCACACATGTCGTCTAGAATCGAGATGCCGGAGAGTGCTAAAGATGCTGCTCGTGTACCGTTAATGGTATGGGACCCCAAATCCGAGGTGGGGGTCTCTTCTTTGTCGAGTGTGGACAAGCTGAGTTATGCCAAGGCGTGCGTAGGCAGGGCGCTAGTCAGTTTGGTTGCTGCTGAGGACGATCACCGCCGGATTACGTCACAGTTAGAAGGGAAAAAGGATATAATATCTGCGCGTGACGTCGTGATCGTCAATTTGAAGGAAGAGTCTGCCAAAATGGAAGCCGACTTGAAGGGCCAACTTTCTGAGCAAGCTGCCCAGTTAAAAAAGGCACGGGTCGAGACCTAGGCATTATCTGAGGAGAAAAAAGCTTTTGAGGCCGAGGTGGCCGATCTTAAGGCGCGCCTCGCTGTGGTTGAGCAACACTTCAAAGCTTCAGAGGCTAAATTGGAGGAAACAGAGAAGGCGCTGTCAGACGAAAAGGCGGGGCATGAAGCAACTCGCAAAGAGTATACCGAGGTCCGCGAGCTTGTAGGTCGGCAGAAGGATGCCCATCAGGCCGAAATGGCTAAACTCGAGAGAGAGAAGTCGGCATATGGGGAATTTATGTATGAGAACGGCTTTCAAGCTGGGAAGGACTCTGTTGCGGCCGTGGAACCGAAGTCTGTTGATGATACCGGGGCGGAGGCCGTTGACGCCGGTGATGATGATGAAGTCGGTAGACCTGACCTCGAGATCGAAATGAACACCTGCTTGAATCTGCGATGGGTCATTGAGCGTTATGATGCGGGTTACTATGACATCGACGATATCCGTTTATTCCTGTTCCACAAACTTGAAAAATATGGCTTCGACACTGAGATTAAGGGGATGCACATGGAGGCTGATGAGGATGAGCGAGAATTCTGTGTGTGGATGTTGCGTCGTGCTGAAGAAATGACTAGAAATCCCGACTTGCCGCCACTTTCCGAGGACAGAGCTGCTCTTCTTCGACGTGCTTACGTCAACATGATTTTAGAGGGAGAGAAGGAGAAGAGGAAGGAGTTAGCCGACGTGTATCTTTCGACC